ATTGGATATTTTGAGTGAGAGATTGGACTGTGGTGGAGCAGCGTTCATCAGGCTCCCCTCACCATTCACTGAGGGACTGCACTGTTGGTGACAAAACAAGAGGAGAGCTCCAGCTCAGTCTATAGTTTGTGCTCAGTTCATTCAGACGAAACAACAACTTGCATTTTATAGCATCCTTCACACGTCGTTGCGTCCCGCACACACGCGTGTACACACAGGCCGACATAAACACACAGGCCAACACACACAAACACAGGCTGACAGACACAGGCTAACAAACACACACACACACACACACACACACAGACCAACACACCCACACACACAGGCCAACACACACAGAGGCTAACACACTTGGGGTTGTGTGTGTGTTTCAGCTCATCCAATCTCATCCTTCGAGAAAACCAGCAAGAACACACAACTGTCTGACCCAGAGACGAGAGTACAAGCAGCTAAGTCAGACTGCCACCTGGGTCCTTGGGTATATTTCCACAACTGCAGTGGGATAAGTGACAGAGTACATTGTCAGCAGAATCTATCTATCCAACCATAATAATAATCCTTGCTTTCTATATAGTGGATTATCGCGTCGTTGAGACGTCTCAAAGTGCTTCACATAACATACTGGATGGACTATGTGCTATATGGGGGAAACGCAGCAGTGTCTCACCAACAGTCGTGGAATGAGTGCCGAATTTTTTATTTTTTTTTAAATTTTGGTGAACTTTTGGCCAGGACACTGTGGAAAAAAAACTTCCTTCTCCTTTCGAATAGTGCCATCGGATCTTTAACGTCCACCAAAACAGGCACTGTAACATCTCATCCAAATCTATGGCACCTTCACCACTATAACCCATGGAAACCAAGCGAAACACCTGATCTGTACAAGAAAAAGAGGCAAAGGTTTTTTTTTGGTGGGGTGAGGAAGAGGCCTGTGATTGAAGGGGGATAAGTTCAGGACAAATCTGTGGAAACTGCTTCAATGAGCGAGTAGCAAACTTATGGAAAAGAACAAATGAGATAGATTTCACAGGATACAGGATATAGTTTGGGATGCATGTCAAGCGCATTTCAATAGGCAACCGGTCAGATGGTTGAAGTTGCTTACAGTTAAAAACGATTAAATCATCCTCGCCTTTGATACAGCGCCTTATCGTGCTACAATATCTCAGAGCGCTTCACACAGGGTGTTCGGGAAGGTGTAGTGACTGTTGTGCCTTATTCAAATCCAACGGCCAATTTGCACAGGGCAAAGTTCCCACTTGAAGCTAATGATTGATGGTGGGGAGGCGGGGAGGTAGGTTGGGAGAGCCAGGACACCAGGAGAGAAACTTCCCCCTACTCTTTTCCATTAGAGCCATGGGCGGAATCTTTAATGTCCCCCTGATCAGGGTGGCGGACGGGGAGCTTGGTTTAACATCTCATCCGAAGGACGGGGGTCTGTAGTGGTGCTGATCGGACAGGACTGGGGTTAGCAGTGGTGCTGAATAAGCCGCTTAGGGTCACTGTTTTGCTTTCAAGAAAAAAGAGTACACTGTAACAGCAGAAACTTCATACATATGTGGAAGCGGATTTTTAAACAACGCAACATCTCTATTGCATAATAAATAATACTTGCATTTTTGCATTTGATTTCGCGCCTTATCACGTCGATGAGACAACTCTCAGCGTTTCGTAGGATATACTGTAAAGTACATTGACTGTGTATTTTGTTGGCAACCAGTTTCCGCACAGGAATGTCCCACAAACAGCCCTGGAATAATTGTTAGGGAATTGTTAGCCAGGACACCAGGAGAAAGAAGCTCCTTTCTCTTTTCAAATAGTGCCATGGGATCTTAACGTCCATCTGAACAGGTAGACGGGACCTCAGTTTAACATCTCATCCGAAAGACGGCACTCCCGACAATGCAACACATCCCCAGCACTGCAGTGGAGCGTCAGCTTAGACGACGTGATTCCAAGTTCCGACCTGGGGCTTGAACCCATAACCTTCTGACTCAGAGGCGAGAATGCCAGCACTGAGGCTGACACACAAGTACTACGAGTCCCACCCACACATGGTATCCGAAAATAGCATCAGAAAGATTGAAAGACGATGCACAAAACAACAACACCGGCCAGGATACAGTTACACAATCCAATTGCAGTGATATGAAAAGGCTGTTAAGGTTTGCGTATCGGTGGATTTCAGATATCCAAACCAAGAGGACGCAATGCTTATGATCAGAGAGAAAAGAATCAACTCTGTTACTGCCAATTTGTACATTTCCCACTGTGCGGAAGCGGCTGCCAACAAATCCATAACAGCAACCCACGCGAGTACAACAACCTGTTCCCGTTAGCTTCCTCTAATGGATATCAGCTTCCAAAGGACTGAATTCTTTGATCTACAAAGCTCAGAGTGCACTGGGTCTCCGGTGACACACGCCGACTGTCTTCCTGACTGTTTGCGTTGCCGTCAGAAAAGCAGATCGTTTGTACTAACTCACAAAAACACAGCGTTTAATTATATCCTTGCAGCCTGGCACGCTGTAAGCTTGTTCAGCTTCCATTGTACAGAAACAGCCATCAAACAACAGCGGAGGCACTAACAAGCAGGCTGACACCACACCAACAGTGACAACATGCCTCGTTCCCCTTTTCGTCTAAATATAGAGAGACGAAAGAGAGAGGGAGAGGGACGAGAGAGAGAGAGAGAGAGAGAGAGGAGGAGAGAAATGAGAGGGAGAAGGAGAAACAGAAACAAAGCAAGACTAGGAAGACAAGACAGGGATAGACGAGAGAGACAGAAAGAAATGAAAGACGAGAGCAACACAACACCGACAGTTCCAAATTAGAGAACAAACAGAAAGTACAAGAGATGAAATCACTCGTCACAAAAAGAACAAGTGTCAGCCTCTCCTGGCAAACCAGACTGAGAATAAGCCAACAGAGCGCTCTCACCAAGTCCCTGATACAAAGACATTTTCCGAACGCGTTTATATTCCGATTAACCGAGCAGTGGGTATGGGTGTGTGTGTGTGTGTGTGTGTGTATGTGGTGGGGGGAACAAAACACAGAACACTGTGATCTCTGACAGCACAGAATAACCAAGTAAATACCCTCACAAAGCGTTCAAACAACAATAATAATCCTTGCATTTGATATAGCGCCTTGTCATGTCATCCAGACGTCTCAAAGCCCTTCACAGAATATCTCAGAATGTCTCAAAGCCCTTCAAAGGATAGTGATTGTGTGTTTTGCGAGCGAAATGGTTCAATGGGTTCAAACATTAACACTTCAGTATGGGTGGCGATTAAAAACTGTGCGACTTGCACACTCGAGTCACCTGCTTAGTTTTAATGTCAACTTTAGCAAAATTCTATCGTTTTTTTTTGTTTCTCAACAACTTAATCCACTTACGAATACCTTTGGTTTTTTGGGGGGTTGGGGTTAAAAAGAACACAGTAAAGTTCCACCTTATATAAAAAAAAGCTCTGGCTATGGAACATAGCATAGCGTGCAGTCCACAGAGCCTTTTGTCTCCAAACTCTTTGCGGGCCGTTAAACCATGAGCAAATGACGCAAGGTGCAAAGCCGCAGTAAAGTCAATGACAATATAATAATAATAATTCTTGCATTTGATACAGCGCCTTATCACGACATTGAGATATCTCAAAGCACTTCACAGGATATATTATAAAGTGAATCGACATCAACAAGGGAGCATCTGCTCATAACCAATGGGCTCCACAGCTTAGCCATAATAAAACACAATAACACTTACAGTTTAGATACAGCAACTTTCACAGCAGGAGGACATTTGACAAAGCCGGTTAGTTTGCCCCCACCCCAACTGAGCTGGGGAGGGAGGGGAAGACGAGGGAGGGGAGAGTGGGTGGGGGGTGGCGGAGAGGGGAAGGAAATGCCCACTCAAAGTATGTAATACCATAACAACAACATAAAAACTCTACGGATTACATGGATGCTTCAGTGAGGGAAAGAAGGTCAAACGTTAAAACGGAAACTCTACCTTTACTCCAACCTACAGAAAGAGAGGTTTGGATCCCAGGGATCGTGAGTGAGTTTCCGTCATTGAGAGGGCAGTGAAGAAGTGGGAAGGATAACATATTAAGAACACGTATGCATGCCACACACACTGGAGATTTTTTAAAAAATTATATTTTTAAAAAAGGACGCACGCAAATAAATGCACTCGTGAAAATAGAACTACAAAATACTTAAAACGTCCGTGAATTATTGCAGATAGCTGGGGTAATGCAATAACCCACTCCGGTTTAAGATTACACACGCGCATGCACACGCACACACACACAATCAAAATATAGTGTAAACTCACACAAACACGCAATGTGTGCAATCCCACACCCTAAAAAATACCCCTAAATCTTCCAGTCTTATTAATGCCAGTCAATATTAATACCAAAATCCTACTGGGCATCAGCAGAAACACATAGTAGGCTATTCCCACTCAGAGACAGATAGCCCAGATCACAGAGGTCACTATACGATTTTGAGGAAAGCACTTAAGAACATGCAACGAGAACGTTTACAGCTGAGTATATATACATACATATATACACACATACACACGAATGTGTACACTATATATATTTAGTATATATAAAATGGGCGACACAGTCACAGAATAAAAATAGCTTGACATTAAAAACCAATTTGCAATAACAATGCTATTGAGTCCTGACTACCTCAGTCACCTACGTGTGTTTGTGTGTGTGCGCGCGCGTGCGTATGCATGTGCGTTTGCGCACGCGCGTGTGTATGTATGCGGGTGTGATCCACTCAGCAGTTAACGTCTTGCACTTATACGCACCCGCCAAGCAAGATGGCGTCGCAGGGCGCACAACCGGTTAGATATAACAACGGTTGGTGCCAGTGCAAGCCCGTTGCAGTGAATGCAGGAGGGAGGGTTAACCTCTCACTGCATGGAGAGGGACAGAGGAGTTTATTGAGAAGGAACGAGAAAGGAGAGAGCATACCTTGTTCACCCATCATCAGATGCGAGAAGCCTTGCGAAAGGAAGAAACGTAAGAATCAAAAAGAGAGAGAGGAAGAGTCATCAAATAATACCCGGTGGTATCGAGATGTCCCATACATGGGGCAAACCTCCCATGTATGGCATCCGTCAGTAACACAGCAACGCTCCCCACACCAGGTAGCAGAGGGTGGGGGGAGCTTGTGTTAGTAAATGGTGAATGAGAGATCATTGTGATCCCATAGAGGAATCAGGGCACCTTCTTTCTCCTTTGCCTTGAGAGAAAAGGCAACGTACAACAACAAATTGCATTGATATAGGGCCCTTCACGCAGGGTAGTGTCAAGTGCAGGGAGCGCTTGACAGTAGCAGAATCTGATCCGGAACCGGGGAAAGGGAGGTGACCATAAGCACGATCGAAAAGGAAGGTCTTCTGACGGGATTTGAAAGTGGGCCGTGAGAGAAGGCAAGGCAGAGGGATTGAGGGTGAGAGTTCCAGATTTCGGGGCGTAGGGGCTGAAGCCACAGCCACCATTGGTGGAGCGGAGAGGTTGAGGGACAAATTGGAGGCCAGAGCCAGCCGAGCAGGGCAGCAGGTTGGGGAGTGGGGGGCAAGCAGATTGGGTAGGTAGGGAGGTGTGAGGGCATGAAGGGATTTGAAAATGAGTGAGAGGATCTTGAAATCGATCCGTTTGGTAATTGGGAACCAGTGGAGCCTGGGAAGGACTGGTGTGATGGGGGTACAACTGGAAAGGAGGCTGGGGGCCGGGGGGGGGGGGAGAAGCGGGTATGGCAGTCGGATATAATTGACCAAGTTTCATACGCATTTAAAGAGTTGGGCTATGGTGAGGGGAGGGAAAGACAGTTGAAGATTAATCCCACCAACAACAAGTTACATTTATATAGGGCCGTTCATGTCGGGAGGACGTCCCAAGCATGAGAGAGAAGAGTTAATTAAGAAGGAACGAGGAAGTAGAGAGCATACCTTGTTCACCCATCATCAGATGCGAGAAACCTTGCGAAACGAAAGAAAAGAAAGCGTCAAAAGGAGCGAGAGGGAGATTGAACAAACAATACTCGGTGGTATCAAGATGTCCCATACATGGGGCAATCCTCCCATGTATGGCATCAGTAACACACCAGGCAGCAGGGAGGAGGGGAACCTGTGTTAGTAAGCGATGAACAAGAGGACCCAGATAGTTATTGATGCTACCTTCCCTCTCCTTTGCCTTGAGAGAAAAGACAAAGGTACAACACCAGTATGAAGGAGGGGGGGAGGTGGGGGAGCTAGCGGTCAAGTCTAAATGACCAGCTTTGTATGCAATGAAGAGTTGGACTATCTGAGCAGGGTGTGGGGGAGACACAGTTAAAGGTAAATCCTATCCAACATCGAATCAAACACAGCAGGAGTGTGAGCCCTAGCTGACATGCCCTCCCTAGCCCAGTGACGAAGGTAGGAAATTCGGGGGGGTGGGGGGGGAAGGGAGGGAATGAGAGATGCAAGGCTCAGCGTAGCACCCTGATATCAGTTGATATCAGCTCAGCCAGCACAATATAATCCTTGCCTTTGATATAGGGGCATCTCAAAGCAAGACAAGCCCACGCCTGGGACCCATTACCCCCATCCATCCTCATCTCCCCCCATCCCACGTCCTCCTCTTCCCCCTTTCCATCGCCCTCTCAGCGTTCTCACATCTCACACCGGGGCATCTCAAAGCGTTTAAGCATTGAATGGCACTGATGATCTTATACAGATCATATATCACATAGGGCCCGGCTTGTTCACTTGGTCACACAATACATGATTACAGGGACGGAGGGAGGCAGATTAAAGATGTGGAGAGGGTTAGCGGGTTGGAGGGAGGGAGTGAGGGTGCAATGGAGGGAGGAATTTAGAAACGGAGGGAGATATGGGGGCTAGTCAAAGCAGAGGCTCACCTGGCACACGGTTGACTTCTGAAGAACAGAGCGTTGAAAAGAAAAGGAGAGAGAGCGAGAGGTTAGACACTGAGAATGCACTTGTCTTTGCATGGAGAGCAGAGGCTTTTACATGCAGAAGATCAATGTAGCATGTTCACAAACAGACAGACAGACATAACAAGTGTCCCGGATGAGAGCACTGTGCATGTGAGAGACCATCGCAAGGTCCCACGAGCCCTCATCTGTCCCCATGGCTGGAATCAGATAGCCCGGAGCCAGTGCGAGGAAGGCGCTTCCTCATCGCCGTGAAGAATACTCTGCATATTCTTCGCTGATCCTACAAGAAGGGAAATGTGGCGTAAATTATGTCATGTTCCCCCACCAGCACCCCCAACTCCCCCTCCGGTCCCATTCAAACCAGTCAGATTTTGCATGTTAGACACTTTTCTTATTGCCTGCTTCCCCCACAGTGCCGCCCTGTCACCCCGCCCCATAACAAGTGCCGAGGATGCCGTCTTGCCTTGAAGCAAGAAAAGATGGCTGCATTATCCACTCGCTCACTCACTCACCTTCTGGGCTCAACAGCATTGCTTGACAGACAAGACTTGGGAAGCTAAAAGCCCCCAGAGAGGTAAGACAAGCCAACGCCTGGGACCCATTCCCACCATCCATCCTCATCTCCCCCCCATCCCACGTCCTCCTCTTCCCCCTTTCCATCGCCCTCTCAGCGTTCTCACATCTCTCCTGTTGCAACAAGTCTGATCCAAATCTCCCTGGAGAGTAATCTGCCAACACCTTTCGCAAGAGAGCCGAGGAAAGGAAAAAACAAGTTGTGGGAAAGTGAGGGGGGGGGGGGTAGGGAAAAGAGCTCAGTTACACACACCTTGACACCCCCCCACCCCCCCACACACAAGCTGTGATTTTGTGGTGAGGGTGTCCATGCAACAAGAAACACATGCTGGGGGTTAAAGCATCTCTGACAATGCAACTCTCCTCCCCCCCGCGCCCCCCAATCCCCCAGCACTGTGATATTGTACTGTGAGCTCAAAGTCCTGACCTGGGGGATTGAACCCACAAACCTCCTGCCTGAGTCCGGTGAGGCTGAGGGTACCGGCGGCGCAGTGTTGGATAAGCTTGTGGATGGGGAGAGCAGTGAAGAGAGTGTCAGGAGATGTGGAGGCTGGAGGTGACAAAATGTTGGGTTAGAGTTTCAGTGGCGGTTTAGGGTGAGGTTGGGGGGGTCGGTGGGGGAGGAAGAACGATAACAGCAGAACAGGTGGATCAATATCTCCCCCCACCCCCACCACCACTGCCTACGGACGACAGGAACGAGGAACGGCAGATGGGAATGCTCCAGCGATCTCAACTAGTAAGGGTTTAAAAATTGCTCAGAACATTAAGACAAGAATTGGATTAAACTGGATTAACGGGGTGCAGAGGCTTTGGATTTAACGACTGGATTGAGAGAATGTTCTGCAAGTCTGAGGCACCTTCGATTTCTAAGACTAAGCAGACTCGCAGGCTGGGACTAGAGGGAATTCAGGCCTCAGGTTTGGTTCAGTCGGCACCAAGGAGTCAGGCAGGGACTGAATGAGTGCTTACTGTGTGATGGATATTATATTAGTAATGGAAAGCTGTGAGGATAGAGGGAGAGAAAGAGAGAGAGAGAGAGAAGAGAGGGAGAAAAAGAGAGAGACAGAGAGATTGAGAGAGACAGACAGACAGAGAGAGAGAGAGAGAGACAGAGAAAAACAGAGAGAGAAAGACAGAGGGGGAGAGGAATGGAAATTCTAAATGAACCATCGTTGAAAATTCTCTTAGCTTTGAAGCAAAGTAAATTTGCTATCAGGTTACAATTGTGTACGCGACGCCTTTATTGGAGTTGTGCGCTTTGGAAAATGAACCTGATCTGGCATTGACTGAATGGGGCAGGAGAGAGCGCGGAGAGCTCTGGTATCAGGGGAGGCATCGAGCCCAATGAACTCTGTAACCTTACACTCCAATGCTTTCATTAATGCAAATGAGAGGGAAGGAATAAAACGGCAATGACAGCCCATTTATCCTGAAGCTTCCGGCAGTGACAATGTTGAACTCTTCTCTAGGGTTGGTGCCCAGGTGGAAGGCTGAGTTTCGAGGTCCTTAAGAGGGACCCAAGACAGAGTCAGTCCGTCCACTCACTTGACTGACCGCAGCTTTTCACTGCGAGGGATCTGGGGACATTTGGATACCAACGGCAGAGGAACAGTCAACAGCACTGAATGCCCCGGCTTTCAAAACCCAGCAACAACAATAACAAAATTACATTTGTATAGCGCCTTTCACATCGGGAGGACGTCCCAAGGCGCTGGACAGACAGAGTTACGGACCCGAGCTGGGGGTCAGTGTGGGGGAGGGTGGAGGGCAGAGGGGGAAGCAGGGAGATCGAAAGGGAGGATCTTGAGGTGGGTCTTGAAGGTGGCGAGGGAGGGGGTGAGACAGAGGGACTGCGGGATGGAGTTTCAGAGGGTGGGGTAGAGTGACGGAAGGCCTGCCCGCCAATAGCAAGGCGAGCAAGGCTGGAGGACGTGAAGCAGGCCAAGCCAGCTGATCGGAGAGAGCGAACAAGATGGTAGGGGGTTAGGAGGTCGGAGAGGTAGGGGGGAACAAGACTGTGAAGGGTTTTGAAGGTGAGGATCAGGATCTTGAACTGTATCTTCTGTGTGATGGAAGCTGGTGGAGTTGGGCAAGGATGGGGGTGATAGGGTTACAGAGCCTAGTGTGGGAGAGGACATGAGCTGCAGAGTTCTGGATGATCTGCTGCCTGTGGAGGGAGGAGTTGGCCGACAAGCAATGAGTTTGCATAGTCGAGCCTCGATGTAATGAAAGCATGTATGAGGGTTTCGGCGGCCTGTGGTGTGAGTCAGAGTCGGAGCCGGGGCGAGGTTGCGGAAGTGGGGGAAGGCAGAGCAGGTCATGGCACAGATGTAGGGTAGAAAGGATAGTTGAGGGTCAAACAAGACCTCAAGGTTCCAGACTGGCTTAGCAAGGTGCAGTGTGTAACCATGGATGGTGATGCTTTCAGCGTCCGAGGTAAGAAGACGCTGACGGTAGCCAATCAGGAGAGCCTCGGTCTTGTTGATGTTCAACTGAAGAAAGTTCGCTCTCATCCAGGAATTGATGTCTGACAGACATTCTGTCAGGACAGCAGTGGTCCTGGAGTCGAGGGTGGAGGCAGAGAGGAAGTTGACCCCATGTCTGCAGATGATGTCACCAAGAGGGAGCATATAGATATTGAAGAGGAGGGGACCAAGGCCAGAGCCCTGAGGAACACCGCACGAGACGGTGTTGGGACTAGAGGAGAAGCCGTTTGAGGAGAGGACATGCAGGTAGTGTGAAAGGTACGATCTGAACCAGTCAAGAACAGCGCCGTGGAGGTTGAGGTGAGAGGAGATGGTTGAGGAAAGAGTGGTCAATGGTGTCGGAAGCAGCGGAGAGGTCAAGGAGGACACGGAGGCAGAGGAAGCCCTGGTTGCAGATGGACAGAATGTCATATGTCACTTTGACCAGGACCCAGCAGGACCCAGGGTGTGATGTAAACCCTACATGACCAGTGTGCAACTAGGTCTTGTTGCTGGAGGGAGGGAGGGAGGGAGGGGAGACAAAGCTCATTTGCGAGAGTTTAAATGAAGGTTTGAATGAAGAACAATAGAGAGTTTGCAGGGAATGATTTTGATCAGTCTAACAAACACCAGTGGGTGTGCATCTGGCAGCTGCTTAATGGGCCCAGCATCCAACCCGGGTTACCCAGGAAACCGCCAGCTAAACTCTGCCGAATATCACCACACAAATTACATCAACTCCATTCCAACCCCTCCCTCCCCGGCATTCGCTCGCCTCAGCAGTAATCTGAGCGGGGAGGAGGAGTAAAGGACACCAGCCTCGTGGCTATTGCTTTTCCTCGTACGTTCCCATTATCATTTCAGGTTCAATTCAGTGACGACGATATGGTGATGAAGGAACTGAAGGCAGTCAGGCCATCCCGCCCATTCTACCCGCGGATTGGATCTCTTAATCCCAACGCCGTTCACCCACCACCAACCCAACCTGCCGCCTCCAACTCTGTCTCCTGTCATCATACCCCTTTATACCTCTGTTCCCTTTCTACACAACGCCACCACATTCAATTAGTAACAAACAACATCGAGGATAAATCAGGTTCCATTTCTCCCAGCGGAAATATCACAAAAAACACTGACCTAGACATATATTGCGGACATGTTCTGAAGGCAGAGTGGATTATAATTATCATTTTCCACACATACACACACACACACGCGCACACACGTTTCCCGTTATTCATGCAATCCCCCAGGATATGTTACATAAAAAAAACACAAGATCCATTTGCCGGTGAGGTTTCATAGAATCACCTGAATGAACCGTCCGGCTTTAGGATACAGTTACACCAAGCGAACAGATCCATTCTGTTCGCTGATATTGGTCCATGCTGAGAGTTTATTCTCTCCCCAACCCCCACACCCCCTTTGGGGAGAGAGAGTGCGCATTCCATTCCAATAAATATCTCTGGGATTTCCATGCGTCGGTGGGAGGCACGGAATTCTCAGTTGGGTTTGGGCAACTCTTCAAACACGGCAATGGGTTTCCTCGTGTGTCAGGCCCCGCGCCGCACCCCCTCCCCCCCAAAAAAGGGTCTTTACTACCCAACGGTGGAATGGGTTTTTTTTTTTGATACAGCGCCTTAAAGCGTCTTTGAGACGTCTCAAAGCGCTTCACAGGAATATACTGCAAAGTGAATTGCCGGTATATTCGGTGGGTTGGGATGGGATGGGATGGGATGGGATGGGATGGGTTGGGTTGGGATGGGATGGGATGGGTTGGGATGGGATGGTGGTTGGTGCTGAGAAGAGTGAAGGGAGAGGGAATGGGAAAGGACCACCTTACCTTCGGAGCAATACCTCCCCGTATATCCCGTGTTGGTACAGTCGCAGGTGGTCGCCCCCTCGACCAGCGAGCACGAACCATCGTGCTCGCAGGGGTTGTCGTCGGCACACGAGCCCTCCTGAGGCAGCAGCACGTGACGGCTGCCTAGCAACGCGGGGGCCGAGGCGCCGTACCTCAGCTGCTCCAGCCGGCCCCGGAACGGCGGCTCCTCCTGGGCCGAGGGGCAGGTCAGGGCGGTGCGGCGGATGTCGCCGGGGATGCCGCCCACGAACAGGTCGCTGACGATCCTCATGTGCTGCCTCCGCGGCCGCACCTCGGCGGCGCGGGCCTCGCCGTCCAGCGTGACGACGGCGCGCAGGCCTCGCGCACTGAGCGTCACCGCATGCCACCGGCTGTCGTTCAGGCCCGCGCCCAGCTCGCTTCCCGCCTCGTAGCAGTCGACGCTAAAGCGCAGGCGCAGGCGGCCGCCCGCCAGCGACACCTGCAGGAAGTCGCAGTAGCCGCCGTCGTCCAGGTACAGCAGCAGCGCGGCCGCCAGGTCGGTCCGGAAGCGGAAGCTGAGGTCGCCGGCGCGGTCGCTGCCGGCCTCCCAACGGCTGTAGCGGGCCCACTGGCCCGGGCTGCCCGTGAACTCGACGCCGAGGCTGAGGCCTGCGAGTGAGGCGAAGAGCAGGACGAGGCAGACGGAATCCATTGCTGTTCCCCTCTCCCCCACCACCAGCACCAGCAAAGCAGGTCACTGACCGTCCTTTTATTTGTTCTTTTCCTGTATTATATTATATTATATATAGAGATATTTATATAGAAAAAGTTGTGGTAAAATCTCTCTCTCTGTAAGATTTTTGGTCTGTGTTTTTATATATATGTGTGTGTATATTGTATATATGTATATATATATATGTTCACCTCACACCTCAGTTGGCCACCGAAGATGACGAGGCCCCAAAAGCTCGAGCAGTTATCTCACTCGAATGAGGGGAGGGATTTATTTTTTTTGCCCCCCGTTTCTATCAATATATTACTTAGTGTTCTTTTTAAAAGAAAATTATTTTTTTCTAAAAAAAAAGTGCTCACTTCCTGGCTCCTACCCTCATTCGCTCGCTCGCTCGCTCACTCACTCACTCATTCCCTGCCTCACTCACTCGCTCGCTCACTTACTCGTTCATTCCCACCTTCTTCTCGCTTACTCAACCCCGGCTCGGGTCCGAAACATTGATTGTCCAGCGCCTTTGGGACGTCCTCCCGACGTGAAAGGCGCTATAACAAATACAATTCTGTTGTTGTTGTTGTTCCTCCTCCCCTCGTTCGCTCATTCATTCAGTCACTCACTCCTTTCCACCCTCGCTTGCTTACTTATTCCTTTCGCGCTTGCTGACTCACTCGCTCCTTCCCTCCCTCAAACCGGGAGAGATTCCATAACCGACGGAGATTGTTTTTCCGGAAGATTCCCACAATCCCGAAAAGTTCTTTCCAATTCGTGAAAATCCACTGGTTTTTCTGTGCCCCCCACCCTCCCTCCTCGCTTTCTCGTGCTCACTCTTGTCCACCTCTGCCGCTTCCTCCTCCTCTCCCTCCGTTTTTATCGTTGAGGTCGCACGCTGCTGATGACAAGAAACCCAACACTCTCTTTTCCTCCTCGGGCAAATCCTGCCGACGGGAATTGTGGGGAGCACTGGAGACAGCAGTCGTGAGGGGAGAGTTGCACTCAGTCCCTCAGTCAAATGGTTGATCGAAAGGGTGGATGAGATCCTGGTCACGCCTCAGAGCCCGGCTGTGTTGAAAGAGCCTCGGAGATCACACCTGGTTCAATCCTCATGTTCTGTCCTTGGCACCGACTGCTGTCGCCGCACAAAGATCGGGCATTGCTATCCTCTGTCATTCACGACAACGAGACTATACATTTAGACAAAAGAGGGAGAAACAAAATGTCACTAACAGAGCAGTTACTGAGCTATTGCTTGTTCATTGCACTAGGAACCCACTCGGGCACGGGCAGGAACCCACTCGGGCACGGGCAGGAACCCACTCGGGCACGGGCAGGATCCCACGCGGGCACAGGCAGGAACCCACTCGGGCACTGGCAGGTCCATACTCGGGCACGGGCAGGAACCCACTCGGGCACTGGCAGGTCCATACTCGGGCACGGGCAGGAACTCACTCGGGCACTGGCAGGTCCATACTCGGGCACGGGCAGGAACCCACTCGGGCACAGGCAGGAACCCACTCGGGCACTGGCAGGTCCATACTCGAGCACGGGCAGGAATCCACTCGGGCCCTGGCAGGTTCATACTCGGGCATGGGCAGGACCACACTTGCACGCACGCACATGTTTTTGCACCAACTTTGGGGGTGGAGGGGAGTCTACCAAGCTCATTAAGCAACAAATTTAGCTGCTGGGTCAGATCAGCCAGTTAACACACGCCACATTTATCAGGGAAACCCACTGTGCTGAACACTGAAAAATATGTTACATGGCTCTCCTGGGGACAGAAACAAAACCACAATTCGCTGCTTTTAAAGTAGATTGAAGAAAATATCTACAGCATGATGCAGCTTTGGATACCATTGACAGGTGCTTCATTGCATGGCTGTTTATGGGACATCGCTACACGCAAATTAGCTGCCGCGTTCACCTAAAAAACATACACTTCACAGTGAAATGCTGCAAAGTGCTTGAGATGTCCACCCGATGTGAAAGGCGTGTATAAAATGCAAGAATTATATAAGGGTTACGATTACGTTGAAAAGAATTCCAGGGCTCTCAATCCAACCCACTGCCTCATCCTGGTCTCTCCCACTCTATCAATTTAATTGACTCCCTCCCTTTCCTCCCGTCCAACGGTCTCTCTCAATTGAACTTTCTATCTCGCTCCCCTTCCCCACACTTTTTCTATTTTGTTCCCTCTCTCAGTCTCAGTCTCCACCCCCACCCCCCCCCCCCCCCCCCATTTACAGACAGTTGCAGGGGTGTATAATGGTCCGAGTTAATAATTGATATCCAAGGTAATCTCACTGGAAAACCTGCAAAGAAAATTAAGCTCATCTAATCCATATCAGGTCGAACTCAGAGAGAGAGTGGGTTTAAGGAGAAGCAACGTTTTTGCACCTCAATTGAAAGAAAAGAAATGATAACATCTAATTGAAACTTCCCATTCGCGTTATCAGTCCTGGTTTCTCTGGCTTCATCGGTCATCATGCCGAAAATTACTTACCCTTCACCTAACTGAGACACCACCATCAATCACCAGCGCCATCGAACTCCACACACACACACCTCCCCACCCCATCCAACTGCCCATCCCACCCCCATCCAACTCCCCACCCCGTCCAACTGCCCAGCCCCGTCCAACTGCCCACCCCCGTCCAACTCCCCACCCCCGTCCAACTGCCCAGCCCCGACCAACTGCCCAGCCCCGACCAACTGCCCAGCCCTGTCCAACTCCCCACCCCCGTCCAACTCCCCACCCCATCCAACTGCCCAGCCCCGACCAACTGCCCAGCCCCGACCAACTGCCCAGCCCCGACCAACTGCCCAGCCCCGACCAACTCCCCACCCCCGTCCAACTCCCCACCCCCGTCCAACTCCCCACCCCGTCCAACTCCCCCACCCCGTCCAACTCCCCCACCCCCATCCAACTTCCCCACCCCCCCAGTCCAAATTCCCCACCCCCCCAGTCCAACTCCCCCTCCACCCCCCACAGTCCACCTCTGCCACTTCTCCACAGTCCACATCCACAAACGCCCCCAGTCCACTTCGCCAACCCCTAGTCTGCCTCCTCACCCTCACCCGCCCTCCTCAATGAATGTAAAGCCACACGATATTATCCCACGGTCTCTTCGACACGCCGCTTCTAACGCCAAGCTTTGGCGAGAGAGAGATCATGTTTCAAAGGAGCAACAAAAACAATGCACACGAGACCTCAATACACTTCCCATAAAGAGCTGACAATCTACACAACAGTACTGAATGGGCCGCCTGATGCCAAGTACAATACAACACTTTAACCACCTGCCCGCAATTGTTCATTTAACACGAGGAGGGTTAGCTTCCGCACCAGGCAGGGACCCACATGGCCTACATTCACCTCGCTGGTATCCAGCTGCTCTGTGGGTTCTTGTCTTTACTGAAAGAAAAAGTGCCGCTGCCATGTTTGAGAGCTGTTAAAAGGGCTCGCTCTAAGCTTCGCTATGTGCCTGGGAGCCACACTTATTGGGAAGCAGATGAAGTATCAATGTGTGTTTTATTAGCCTCTCTGCTATGACTCGCTGAATGGAAGAAGTGTTATACAGCTCCTCGTCATGTCAGAATGCCTCAGAAGCGTAAACGAGGCCCCCCTTCTCCCCCGTTCGGGCAAGAGTTAAAGAGCATGCGGTGCTGTTGGGAAAAGAGAAGAGTATAGATCTCACGCTCTCTCCCCCCGCCCGCCAATGTTGTTCGCGAATTAGCTTCATAGCTGTCTGCAAGGACTTCGCTGTGCGCAAATTGACTGTATTTGTCCCCAAAGCACCATCACATCGCTTCACAGTATATCCTGTGAAGTGTTTTGAGATATCTCACAAACAGTCTTGGAGTGAGTGACCAATTTTATTTGGGCGATTATTGGCCAGGATACTGGGAGAGAGAAACTCACTTTTCATTTTGAATTGTGCTATAGGGTCTTTAACGTCCACCTGAACAAGCAGACGGGATCTGGGTATAACCTCCGACAATGCAACACCTGCCCCAGCACTGCATTGGAAGCGTCAGCTTATACTACGTGAGTCCTAACGTGAGTCCAAGTGAGATTCAAACCCGCAACCTTCTGACTGAGCCAGGCTAATATACGAGGCACAATCTGCAATCTGAGCAATGAACCTTCACTCTCAATAATTGTGAGCAGCTCAGACCAAAGCTCCCGGGCACTGGAACCCAAAGCTGCCACCGGAGTCTGGAGAGCAAGACTGAAGCCATAACTGAAACCTGCTGTCTGTCAGTCGTTCAAAATAAGAACAACAAGAATCCTTACATTGTTCACGATAATAATCCTTATGTATGATACAGTACCTCATCGCGTAGTCAAAACACCTCAAAATGCTTTGCAGGATCTTGTGAGGTGTAGTGACTATTTTGTAGGCGAGCACGGCAGCCAAATTGCACACAGTGTCATCCACGCAGACAGCCATGAGAAGATGAACAACTGATATTATCTTGGTCGGTGGGGAATGGGATTATTGCCCAGTACACCAGTAGATACTGTCTGGTATGATTGGCCCTGTTAACCTGGATACCTCCCGGTTATCCTGGTTTATATTCCGCTCCGCACCCGAGCTCGCCCAAAATTAATTGCTTGACTATCTCGTTGTTGGTGAGATGTCGCTGGGCACAAATTAACAGCCTCGTTTGCCTATAAACATTACCTTCGTTTCTCATTAATCTCACTCTGTAAAGCACCTCAAGACATTTCTTCGCTGTGTAAAAGCAGGTTATCAACAGGGTGAAGAGACGCAATATTATTAAAATGGCCCCAAGGCTTTTTAAAAACAATGCGTACGTTTTGATGCAGCGTCTTTCACTTCGGGAGAAGTTCCCTGCGCACTTCATAGGAAGCAGAGTGACTGGATTTTGTGGTGAACAAGACAGCTGATTTGCTCGTCCCACAAGCAGCCACGAAGAGAATGAGCGATTTTATCTGGAGGAGGGATTGTTGACCAGGACACTGGGAGAGAGAAACTCGCTTCTCTT